GTCTTGTTGTCAGGCAGTGGCGGCCATAAGTCACCGTTTGTACCATTTAAAATGCCACAATACCCAGAGAATTCTGTTGTATTACTATAATTCCATTTTTCAATTACACCCATTTTGTGTACATCTGTGGCTCCAGTGAACATATTAAATGTACCATCATATGTTTCTGAATTATTGCGCTAGAATAATATTATTATTTCTTATGCATTTCTCTTTGTTAAATATTTTGTTGTGTCTGAACTTACGTCATAGAACCAGCCAAATTTATCATATGGAATTCCTGAGTAATTTAATGCTAATCCCATTTCTAGTAAAGGATCTTTGTATCCATCAAACAGAAGTTCACCCGCAGTCTTTGTAGTAATTCTGGTTTCGCCTGTAGTTCTTATTAATGTATTCACAAATTGTCGTACCAAGGGTGAACGATGCCTGATGGAATATGCAATAGTCTATGGGGGATAACTTTGGATTACAAAAAAAAAAAAAGCTAATTTTGTAGAGAATAAAATGAACGTACGGTTGCTATGACATTTAAATTGGTAACTTTATCCAACAAGCTGCCTTTTGACATGGATTCCTCAAAATGCCAAATTCGTTTTTGTTGAAAAGTCACAGTACCATTATCATGCCATACTTCATTTACTTTATAATCAACTTCTCTAAAACAAATAAATCACAAATAAAATCAGTAACCTGATTGCATGAGTGCTCAGAAATATATTAATACCACATACTTAAATACGTAAGGACCCAATTCAACAAAATTGGGTTTTGTAGTAGCAGTGGAACTGAAGTTGTCAGCATTTGTCCAATTAAACAAATATATCTCCAAATACATAGGTATAGGAGTTTCTTTCCAAATTCCAAAAGACATAGACGTTGGTGAAAGTATTAATTTCTGCAAGAAAATCAAATCATCATATTACACTTCCACAATGTTACCTATCTACTTTAACATACAGTTTTTCACATACACGAAATAGGATACTAGTGAATAAATTAGGCCACAAAATTCCCAATGCAAGGCCAACCGATAAAGCAGCAACAGCAAAACCAAAGATGATACCTAGCTTTACAGATGTAACAGGCATCTTACATGGAGGAGCGACACTGTAAAGTAACAATCTTTAGATTAATCTATTAATTAGCCACAATAATCTTATATATTAATTACAATTTTTTTATTAAAAAATCGGATCAAATTTCATCAAGAATACTCAACAAATTCATAATTATCAAATATAAAACTTATGAACACTCTCCCAGCAACAATACCCGAATTTAAATGTTTCAAAATTTCATGCCCTTACTTCTGCTGGTGAACGTCCTCAGACCCTCCCGAAGGAACTAACGATTCCGTTGACATGTTAGTACTCAATTTGCGTAGTAAAAATGCCTAATAATTCCTTTAAAATTCAGCACACAAACGTCAAACACCTAACAGATTCATCGTAAGTATCCGTACTGTCTCGCAAATATTATAAAGATAGTTTACCACTCCTTTGAACTATCAAATTGACAGGTAGTAACTGACAATTAAAATTACAGTGTCACGTGTAACCTGAACAGAATTGGAGAATTTTTCGCAGCTGATAAGACCATAGCAACCGTGTACGTGCTCGCATCTATCGAAACAAGTATCCAACAAAATTGTAAACCTGAGATAAGCTGTCCAAAACTCTGATAACCTTGCTCAGTAACTTACAGTTACTTGTAATCGCATGACTGACTGGGATACGAGCTCGCGCACTTTCTCTGACTACATACAAAATTTCAGACTTCCCCACTGCAGGTGCTATGTCGCCGCCTAGTGGCAAATAACGCCATTACGATTGTACGGCGAGTTGAAATGAATAATTAAAATAAAATCATGATTCCCTGTGCAAATCAAACTTCAATGTTTTTGGATTCTTAGACTATCAACAGCTAAATAAAAATTATACATATCCTAAATAATATGTAGAAAATTTTCAGTATATTCAAATTTAAAGAATTTCAAATTATAAAAATGATATAGCCAAGAAAAGATATGAGAGAATTCCTCAAGGTCCGCACTCTAGACGTCTTACGTTTCACACAAGACAAAACATCCGAACGACATCCGAATTATGTTTGCAGTGTCTTACTGACTTTCGGTTGAAAAATGCTACATGTAATACATCCGGTAAACGTCTTATGCAGATGTTCTTAAACATGACGCAGCATGACATTTTAAGAATGTCGTTTTAATGTTGGCATTTGTGTTGTACATTATTCTTTTTTACCATTCATTATTATTATAATATATTTTACAGTTATTACCTACTATACCTTTTGGGAACCTTATACACGCGTGTAATCGTCAATATGCTGTTTGCTTTATCTTACTTTCTACATTTAACAAGTGCGTACATTCATTGAATGTTTTTTAACCTGTCAGCACATGCATCATTCCTACCGCGTCAAACTTTCATTGTGTGTCAGTTTATAAATTATGTTGCCTTCGAGAAATGCTCATAGGACAGCTCCTCCCGGCTTAAGCCAACCAGTGAGTATGCCGCTACATGACTGATAAATGGGCCATCTACCTCATAAGAATAGTGAAGCAAATTGTCAGATGGATATTAGAAATACATCCTATGAATGACAGGTAGGATGTGAAAAAAAGACGGACAGAAAGACATCCGTAGGTGGGACAAACATACTTTAGAATGACTTCTGCAGGATGTCATTTGTGGATTTACGGATGTCTATTATATGTCAGTATGTGCGATTGACGACATGTGTATAATGTATTTCTAACATCCCAGTGTTGTGCAGAATACTTGTAATGTAAAACTAAAATACGAAAATGTTACAAAATTCAGAAAATTACTGATTCAACGCAAAGATCTTACAGATGAGAATACAGTTAATATGACAATCAAAGAAATTTGCTCGTTTATCCTTCGATAACACTCATTCCGCTGAGAATCTAAGTTCCCATGGGGCGGAAAATATTAACTAAATCTTTATGATAGTTAACAAAACCAAAGCGAAGAGATTCCGAGAGAGAAAGTTTGCGATATCACAGGTCAAGAGACTCACCTAAAAATGATGATAACGCAAAAGATATAAATTGGAGACTACTCCCGTCCACAACACGACTTGTCAAAGAATGCCGATTCTTCTTGCTAATTTCATCAGTGAAGTGTCCCCACTTTTTTGTCATGCAGGTGTTCGCTGGTCTTCGCTAACTTTTTTTCGTCGCCATCTACCGTTTCAAGTAGTGTACCACTATTTGAAATATCTTTCGAGTCCTGCCTTAAGATTTTATTTGATGTGTTAAATTTTCGCGATAAGTATCATAACCGTGAGACGATTATTCTCTACGAGAATCAAGGACCCCAGTAAACATACACGCAGCCCATAGTCCGGTACGATACCCTGATCCTCAGGGATGGGTTTAGAGGGTACCATAGTGGTTGGATCTTTTTTTTAAAAACCTTATAATTTTTCTGGCTGGGCTCTGGCTTCTTGATGAGACTCCTTTCTGGACAATCCTCCCCGTAGACCAAACTTATGGAGTGAAGGAGACTCCCCCGGTTGACGACAGTCCAATACTTCATCGGGTACCTAGGATTTCGGTATCTCCCCTTCTCGTGTCGATCGAGACCTTTTTTTCTGACGGTAGATAGACCGCGAATCGGTTCATGCAATTGCCATCAACTCCACCCGTGGCTATCGTGACTCTCCTGCCTTTCCTGCTGCAGGTCTATAGAACGATAATTCGCCAGGAATTCTATGACTTAATCTCGAGTTCGGCCTTGGTATCGACAACACAGGATGACAGCAGCAACTATTCACGCTTCCTTTCGTGAGTTGATTTCAGATACGGCTGTAGCACAGCAGCTGTACAACAAAGTAACTTCCTTTTGGATGCTCCTCACATGGTCGGCAATATGGTTGAGGTGCGTTACAAAATAAATTTGTAAAAAATAATTAAGATACAGAAATTGTAAAATTATAAGTAAACCGTGGAAAAAATAAAATTGAAGTAAAAATGAGGGAAAGTAGGATTTTGTTAACAATTGCATAACATTGCAATAAATAAATACAAAAAAATTGCAAAAGGCTTTTCCACCGAAGATTATGAACTTTCAAAATAATTGGTCCATTGGTCTCGACTTCAAAAAGTAGGATTATTTAAAGGGCAAAAAGTGAAGAATATTTTATAGTCATTCCTGCGTGCAATAAACATTAAAAGGTAAGATATTTAAGGAAAATGAATATATATAAAAAATAATAAAAAATTTTACATAAATACAAGTAAATTCCAGAAAATCGGTAAAATGATAGCTATTTACAATACGCAGTAATTACAAAAATGTATGCGATGTTCTTCGCTTACAGGCTTTGCACGGAACGTACAATGCGGACGGTGTTCTATCAATATAGGTAAATCTTATTTTAATCATAAAGCAGAAAAATACGAAAACAAAAACTCTCATCCTGTATTAATAGAAGTACCTAGATTTCTATAAAAATGATTTAATTTAAAATTCATCGACGATCGGTGATACGTCGGTTTTCACCTTCTTCGCTATCAGTTTTTGTTCTTCATTATGGCCTCGTCTTCTTCGAACAAATAAGACACTACCAATGAAGAAGAGAAGTACGCCAATTCCAGCAATACCGTAAAATATAACGCAACCGAGCGTTGGAAGTATTAGAAGAAATATGATCCCGCTTGCATAACTGCTAGGCAGATCAGCCCTTTGTGCAAACCACATCATGGGAACATACGTTTTTGGTACATTTCTGAAGAGCCTTCAAGGAGAATAATAAAATATGGTTGGACTGTACAACAGATATATTTTTGGAATTTTTGATGAGTTATACTTACGACATAGCATCATCTGGCTGTACCAAGAGACTGATTTGTACCGTGGCCCTAATCTGTATCGGTATCCCTGTTGTCTGAGGACAGTTGAAAAGATAATTTTATCTTTGAAGTATTTGTTAAACTTACTAGTTTATACTTTCAGTATCCATTTTCCACGTTATATATACAGGGTGTCCCAGAATGAAAAGATATGGAGTACACCATAAAGAAAAAGAGGAAAATCTGAAACAAAAAGTACTGATCCACTTTTTTTACCGAGCTTTCTTCTTAAAGTTATAAACAATTAAAGATAACCAATCAACGCACGACTGTACCTGCTGAGCATCCCTTTGTCACCCCACTTTACGCGTTCTTGGATGGTCAGCGGGTATGTACGTCCGCGCATTGATTGGCTAACTTTAATTGTTTATAAGGAAGGCTTGGTAAAAAAAATGAATCAGAACTTTTGTTTCGGATTTTCCTCTTCTACTTGATGTTCTACTCCATATCTTTTTATTCTAGGACACCCTGTATAATTTTCTTACCGGTTCGAAAGTCATCGAGAACTCATGCTTTTCCTTATTTGGATTCATTCCCGTAATGGAATTTCTGTAGCTCTCGTCAGCCAGATAAAAATGTGGTAAACTAATAAATGCCGGTGCTCCAAATTTGCAGCTAGAAATATTCAAGACTCCACTAGGTTGACATTCTACTTCATTGCAAAAACATTTTCTGGATGGAACGTTGGTTCCATTGTCGAGCATGTTTTTATCGGATACATATTTGGTTCCAACCAGGCCTTGATGTACCGTTGTGTTCTGCATTGTCAATGATAACGACCTATCGTTATCAGCATACAGATAATTATAGTCTCGCTTATATTCTAATTGGGGAATTTTAGACTATCAATTAAACATACTTACGTGCATAGATCAGATGAAAATATT